CAGCTCGTACGGGCCATGGCAATTTCGCGGCGTATCATCGCCGTTTCAAAAATATGGACGCTCTCATGGAGTGCACCTGCGGGAAGGAGACCACTCCAACCCATTTCATACACTGTCGACTACATTCTCACGTCACACGTCGACTCAGAGGGAGATTGTCACATAGTGACTTCATCCAAAAGCTTCTCGGGCCAAAGTGCCCCGAAATTTTCAAAAACTTTGTTAAGGAAACCTGCTGTTCTGGGTTGCCATCTACAAATTCGTCCTCTGATCTCATCGAGGACCATATGAATTAGTCATACAGATGATATGACAGGAAGGAATACAAGGCGAGAAGGTTTGTTTTCTGACCGGAAATTGGGGAATCTGCAGGGCTGGATAGTTTTGTGGGTAGGAGTTTGGTTTGAAAGGTTGAATTTATGTACCGTTGCGAATTTGTCAAGGGGAACTATTTCACCTACGCATGTAAACTAAGATAGTCAGGTCACATGACCTGACTATCAGTACATATACTTCATCTGCAGCATCAGGGCTATCTGGTCAACATTTACAACATAATACCGTGTCCCACGTATCTTTCTTAAGAGAATTTTAAACTATCTATTTATTGTTTAGTGGTTTATGCGGTGGGATCAAGTTGGGCTTATCAGAGATAGGATCTTGGCTGTAAAAACCGGTCCTTGACTCTTCGGGGATAACGGGTTAGACCTAGGACCTAAAGAAACAAACAAACAACCATAAGGTCTCGTGTTGGCCAGCTCAGTCTACATAAACTATCCGACGTGCCGATACTTTTAAATAAGCCCGACATGTTATAAATGGGCCAAGGCCTACCTGCCATGCACCCCGAACTATCGCAAGAATTCAAAAATACTCTCCAGCTGAGACTTTTGTAATCTAGTACAGTAGAAAAGATAGTTATATATATGAAAAGGCAAGTTATCCATCACCTAGACCAGGAGTCTTTCAGTCTGAGCTCTAGCAAATACAGGCCAAGTGTTTATAATTTTGAGTACTAGTTAGTCTTGTAAGAATTAAATCTCATGGTGGATGTCACGCGATCATTTGGTGATGGTATACACCTGAGCAAGTCCGAAACTATAGTCTGTCCAACATTTTAATGTAAAGAATAAGTTGGAAGAATTGATCCGTTTTACACTTTATTACATTTCACGCAGAGTGACTTTTCTCAACACCTGTCAGTGGTGTCCCCTACGAACCTCCAGCTCTCACTGTAGAGCCTGCAGATCAGGGATTGAGTAACATCTCTCTTACTTGGATGAGAATTCCCAATCGCTTTCGCCGTCTGTATCGTCTTCATCTCTCAGCACAATGCCTTTGTAACATCGTTTTGAAGCTGGCTATAATCATATCAGATGGTAGGGTCGAAGTCGTACTCATCATCTAATCACTATTCTTGGCCATGAAGGCGAAGCCATCCGATGAGCTCCCAGAGGATAGCCAGCGCCCGACATGGCGATGGTGGATTAGATCAAGTTGGCCTCTCTTGATACAAAGTAGGGAGTTGTCGATGGGTATACGTACCTCATATGCCTCCGATTCCCATGCCTCGTCTAGCTGAAGCTGCAGGTTTTTGAGACTTATTCCCGCGGACGCAGATTTGTACTGCTTCCATTTATATTTTTTTGGGTAGAAGGTTCCGTGGAAAAGGTGGCCGAATTCCAGGAGTGAAAACTGAGCTGGATGGTTATCCATCACTGGCAATATATCAATGATCTTTCAAGTAATAAACTGAGCGAGGAGCACTGTACAAGGTGTAGCCTGGGTTAGAGAGGAGCCAATGTGCTAGATAGTGAAAGACTCAAGCAGTACAATCATTACCAAAACCACGCCAAAAACTGAAGAGTTACAGGGGATATATTATTTTGCATCAGATTTTAATTGCGTATGCAGCTATCTAGCTATGACACAATATCAAAGAAAAGTACAGAATAGATGGTTCAACGCAAAGGAATTGAAATTAGTTGCGGAGATTGGAAGAATTACACACTAGCCTCGAGTTTGATTTAGAGATACGATAAATGTGTTTACTGTACGAAGAAGTTTACTGATATTTAATGGATAGTTAATTGTGATTAAATTGCTACAATTCTACATGTGTGGCGAGAAGTCCCTCTATATACATGAAAGCGGGGTTTTCCGTACACAAGTGTGAACTCCAACATACTTCCTGATATAACCTAAATGGGAAGGTTGTTGGAGATCCTGAAGCCAATGCATGCTGTCAGGCATCTATTAGCTAATTACTATTCATGCCAGTGAGTGATGATATGGGTTAATCATATCTCATGGCGCCGGTGCATATTATTCTAATATCTACTATTTGTCTACTGCAGTCATGTTGGTGCCTTAATTACAACAAAGGGAAGAGCACTCGTGCCTCGGATTTCATTTGCAAGTACCACTGCGAAGTTATGGTGGCTTATTCTTCACCCCAAGTCAACCCTCATCCGTGAATACCCACCCAGGGGAACGTCTCAAAAACCCTGAGTTATCAAGACATGCCTCCATCATCTATTTACTTTTCTCCGCGCGAAGTGTTATTTGAGATGTCTCTTTCCCAAGTAGAGTAGGTGCCCAGGCGACTCGAACTATACTAGAGAACACCATTCCTTAAAGGCCTATGCAGGTGTCTACGAACCCTAGTTTTTACATAGGAGGAAACCTTTGTAGCAAACCCCCCTCAACTTTTCAATTTGATGACACTTTAACGTTGTGTTACTTTCGAGAAGTGCACTAACACTGTTATGTCCAGTGCGGATACCGTCCTCTTCCTCACTAACGGTAGAAGATCATCTTTCTACTACTCTCCTCTCCCTTCCTCATCGTGGCTTTGACTTCAAGCGTCAGTTGAAACTGCTCCGGCCGTCCTTCCTGCTGGATCCATCTAGTTACCCTTGCTATATCTTTGGGATTATTCATCATTCCTTCAGATGACCGGTTCTCTGCCTTTCTCGGTATTTCTCCTCTACCTTTGGCCCAGCTGGTGTAGGCTATGACGATGTGCTTCACATCATGGGACGTATATCTACATTGGCATCGTGGGTTAACTACTCCTGGAACTTTTCTTCTGTGCAGATAGGAATTGAGCCCGATGTGCTCGCTTCTTACCTATATTGCTTTACTGCTCTGGGCCCTGCTCAGGTTTTTGTGGATACTAGAAAGTGTCCCACTTTGGTTCATTCTAGTTTTTCCTATTTTATCATTTGTAAAGAAGTTTGCTGCTATCCAGATTTTAGGACTTGCCAAATTTTCAAGATTGATAATCTATGGGTGCTAGTTTTGTATCGCTACCTTTAGAAATTGATGTTATTATTAGTTATTACGACGCATTAAGACTGCCAATGTCACCTGAATATCTTGAAGTCTTGCCATCTAGTCACGTCGAGATTTTCAAAAAAGAATCAGGTAGATGGTAGTATATGTTGTAGTGGCGATGTTTAAATGATAGACTTGATAATCTTTAGTATTACTCGAGATTATTCATCTATATATCTATAATATATCATCATTGACTTGTAGAGGGGTAGAATGCCTCACTTGACTTCAGAAATGCTCAAACTCTGGATTTTATATGAAAATGTTGCTGTCAGGTACATTTTCTTTTGCAGAACAGTTGAGCTTCCTCCGTGAGTACTCACCAAAGGGTAATTTTAAAACATTTGATTACCCAGTTGTCTCTGGATCAATTGAAAGGGCTTGTCCCTCAGTATCTAAAAGAATAAATTTTGGCATACTTCAAAATTAAAATTCTCAAATGTAATTAGAATCTTCAGTTAGATTCACAAAGTCCCCCATAGTCTTAGACTCAGTAGGGACTATAATAAAAACAATCATCTAATCTAATCCGGATCTTTTGATGCCTGTATACAACAAAGCAAGTCCAGGATTAAAATAATTTAGTTAATGATATCCAGTGAAAGATGGTATCCTACTTCCTTCAGTCTAGATAGAGATTTATAATTACCACCAACAACGGCCTATGTTTCCAAGCAATCGTATCTAGAATGCAACATTGATAGACCCTGTAGCCAACTATCCACTAATCTCTATCCCATGCCCTAGCGGCACTAGCAGCACAACTCCAAAGGATTAATTCTGTGATACTAGTCATGCCTCCGTCATATACATACAATAGCACTGCGTGTATAGAGGTGTATTATTTGCAGGATTCAACCAGTGATCTCTCATCTCAAGCAGGATAGGTGTCAAAGCTATCCAGTCTTCACTCAGTAGACCAGCCCAGATAACATATCACGGTGTCATTCAACCATGACGGTATTTTTAGATACTTCTACACTGCTCTCTAAATTAAAGAATCCAGACAAATTTAGAAGCTTCCTTCTTTTCGAGATTGTACCCATTGCTTGCATAATCCTCCCCACTTGTCCTGATTATTTCACAAGCACTCTACAAACTGCTACTAAGGTATGTGCATCCCAAATTTTGGTCCTCCTGTGGATATTTGTATTGTCGTGGGCGTGTATTTGGTGGCTATCTAAGGCCTTAGGCCGAATAGTTGAGAGATGTGGTCATTTTAAGGGTGATTTACTGGGTTCTACTTGTGAACTTAGTAAGATTTTGACGGGAATCGACCTCTTGGATATTAGAGATCAATTTTGTGGATAAAAGTAAAGCATTATCTTGTGGGCAAACTTCTTTGGTTACGCGAAATTTTGCAGAAGTTAGCTCTGGGAGGATATTTCACTACCAAGTTGGCATAAGTTACCGCAAGAAGGAGATCATTCCCTACTCTTCTGTGAAAATAGCGCAGAAATCATTGAACTGGATAAGTCATTTAAGAATAAAATAAAAAGCGACCCGGCAAGCCTAACCACATCAAGTCTGTGCGTCAATTTACCAGTTGGTCATGGGTAGCGTGTTGAAATCCACAGACAATGCCCATTGTCGTTTCTTAAAATATTCAGTTTATAAATCCTGGACGGAAGACTCACATCTCTACAATTACGCACCATAAAATGGGTTCAAAGTTTTTGTTATTCCCTCGCAGATTCCGAAGCGTATTTCATCCACGGCCAACCCGGCTCAACGAAAAGAGATGGCTTCACTCGTCAGTGCTACAAAAATCAGAATCTTCAGTAGAAACTCCAAAATCTTTGGCAACCACCTTAAATCACCCCATTCCACAATTAATTAATTCAATCAAACGGGTTCCTACTTCTCCAGAGCCACCGAAAACACCGCTCCAAATTTCAGAATCCATCAAAGAGCTTCTTCCTCTACTTACGGCCCAACCATCCCATTATGTCACTATCCATATCCACGGCAAACCATACCTTGTTACAGCAGGTGATACTGTAAGATTACCATTTAAAATGCCAGGAGTTATTCCGGGAGATATCCTGCGATTAAATAAAGCTGTCAACATTGGTTCTCGCGACTATACTCTCAAGGGTACTCCATATGTTGATGAAAGATTATTTGAGTGTAGAGCAACGGTTATGGGAACCGAGTCGGAGCCAATGAGGATCAAGTTGAAAACAAAAAGAAGAAATCGAAAAGTTAAGACGGTGAAGAGCAAGCATCGGTATACCATATTGAGAATCGCCGAGCTAAGGATCAAAAACCTAGAGGAATTTTAGTTGGCCGGGCCATTTCCCCATGTGTCAGGGAAACTCTACCAATATGGTGCCTCTTTCACTTAAGAACACTACTCGTCCGTATTTGAGACTTACTCTTGTAAATACAACCAAAATCTAAGGTATTGCCATCGCACTCTAGCTCATCTCCTCACAATTTCCCCTCTAGCATAGAAAAATACTCACATGAGCGTTATCACTAAGTCTTCCAGATGCTGATCGCCTACCTAGGGCTCATATTATATGGTAGTCTATTAATTTATTAGATCAGTAAACTGTTTGATTCTTTAGAATTGACCTAATGTTAAAATTAATTCATGATCATCTATACCCCACACGTAAGATGTGCTTTTCTCCTCTTAATAATTACTAACGAGCTGAAGGCCACTTCTCATGAAACAAAGAAATAACCCAAAATCTTAGGCGGACCTTTCAAAAAACATGGGCATGTAAATTCTCACGCAGAGTCAGAATTAATTCCTAAAAAAATATAAATTTTCAATACCTTCCACAAAATAACATGTGAACTCCGATTAGACGGCTTTTGGATAAATTTAAGCCTGTATCTGCTGTATAACTTACCAAAATAGCAAAAAACAGGTTTTGCCCTCGTTTGGTTCAGACTAGTCATAATAAAATTAATTCTGAACCATCTTTAGACAAATGGCTCATCTCGCAATCATCGATTTTTCCTGGCTCAATGTGTTGGTATGAAGAATTTCATACGCTGAAAGCTCACTAGTTCACTTAAAGTTATGAGAGTACTCTTGTAAGTAGTTCGAACTATAGTTTAGAAGGAATGGGTATTCATGGTTGACCCGTTTTACTTTTCACTGTTTTTTACTGTTGAATTGCTATCTATGTTACATCCGCATATGTGAAGGGACTAATCAAATTAGCTATTCACAAATTAGTAGGTCTTAAATTGAATTATATTCTGTATAAAGAAAGAAATACTTCTAAGACTACATGCTTACCTACTCAATACGTGCGTCGCGTATGGATTTATGCATGAGTTATCCTTTACTCAACTCCTTAATCCAGCCAAGTCATGTACTCTAAGACTTCACGATAAATGAACCGGATAAACTCCGATTAATACAAAATAAGGCGCTAGCCTGTAACAGGATAAAGCAAAATATGTTGTAAATTCAGATTCTGTGTGTCTAAAGTTTTCCTATGATTGGAACAACCAAGATTCTCACATAAGACTCACGACCAAGATGATTGATATCTTCTTTATTGAGCCTGTTTGATGCTTAAGACTCAACTAGTGCATGGTATGGTTTGGTACCCGTGTAGATTATCATCCACCGACCCTGACTCCATATTCATATTGTAGACTGTCGTGCGATTCATTGTCATTATTAGAGCACGGAAGGAGTGTTGGATGGTATCTAGTTTGGATTTGATCTATCAAGTATATATGTACATAAGCTGTCTAGTGTGACGAAACCAAGCTGGTTGTAGTGTACTTTTAGAAATATTAAACTATATGAAGAGAGAAGTACCACAACTACGGGTAATGACTATTTGTACATCCTTCTAGCTCATCCAGTACTTACTCCGTTGGTGAGAATCATATTGTTCCGCCACTGCCCATCGTCATCTTTACCATCTAGCTGACTCTCTCACTTGGCAGTTCTACTTCGCCGTCTCACATTCCTTCCTAGCTCCAATGTAATGTAGCCAAGTGAAACTTAGTCGCTTGATACAAGATAATACGAAACACTCTCCCTAATACGCCTCCTAACTCCGCTTAGGTTCCCACCTAAGCTAAACCACGGTCAAACTGTAACATCTAGGAATTATCAAGAAAATAGTTAAAATTAATTTACTAAATCCATTTTTTATTTCTCCACAGTATATCACATATTCTCCCGACTCATATCATTATTATTCTATTCACAAATCGCGCCCATATTCCTTGAGCCGCCTTACCCATCGAACCCATAGCGATTTTCCAACAATATCCGAATGGCAGAATCCAAAAATCAAGAGTTACATAACGCAATGCAAGAACCATAGAATCTAAATAAATCCAGCTAGATGTGTGTGTGTGTTTGTTGGAAATACAGTTTCCTGCTTTTCTTTCTATCGACCAATGTGGTTGCATGCATCTTGCCTGAACTATATTTCTGAGTTCAGGCAGGAGCCTATACTATATATATATATATATATATATATATATCATTTTACCTGATTTGGCGCCTCGAGGCCCATGCAGGTTTTTATCGGAAGATATGTACTTGAAGCAGGATGACTCAATTTGACGATTAGAACACTCACACTCAAATTTCATTTGCAGATACCACTCGAGGTTAACCCCTACGGCGTTTAACCTCTTCCGTGCATACCCACCAAAGGGAAAAGCGTGAAAAATCTGTGGCTATCCAAGTGTGCTTTCATCGTCCCACAAGTGCGATATCACCGCGAGAGAGAGTGGTGTGTGGGTCTGACTGGATTCGAACCAGCTTTCTCCTGTCTCGAATGGGGTAGGTGTTCAAGCTACCCAGTATCTACTTGGGAGAACGGCCCGGATGGTGTACCACTGCACCATCCAGCTCAGGAGCCCATACTTCTGATCCAATCGGACTCAACGTTTGAGTCTGCTTGAATCCCATTCTTCCCGAACAAATCCAGTCATTGGTTTGTTCGTATTTTCTATTGCATGACCCAGTATTCTGAGTCAGTGGATAATTCTTTTCTGGTCTGGGATCTTACTTCTACAGTCGAGTCGGTTCCGGATAAACTTTCTTCCTTGTAATTCCACTGTATATAACATAATACCTGTAGTCTCTTAGTCAATTAAACAAACTGAACTTCTTCTCCGTTCTCAGGCAATTCTTACTCCGAAGTCTACTCTATACTCTAATAGTATTTTGATTGTGCTGCCTGAGTGTATGATAATCTAACACATTTGGCTCCTCTCTAACCCAGGCTACACCTTGCACAGTGCTCCTTGCCGCATTTGTTACTTCAAAGATCATTGATGTATTTCCCGTGATGGATAACCACTCATCTCAGTATTTACCCACGGAATTCAGCCAAATTTTACACGGAACCTTCTACCCCCCAAAAAAATAAAAATGGTAGCAATTGGAATCTGCACGCGTGGAAAAAAAGGCTCATATAACCTGTTTCCTCAGCTAGGCACGGCCCAGACACCTAGACCGCATGAGGTGCGCATCTCCATCGATATTTACCGTTTTAGCGATCGAGGCCAGCTTGATCCAATCTACCATCGCCATATCGAGTGCTACTTATGCCTCGGAAACTCATCGGCTGGTTCTTTCTCTATGATCAAGGTTGGGTGGCGAGTAGGACTTCGACCCTACCACCTGATCTGATCGTGGTTAGCTTCATGATAATAGTGATAGGGAGATGTGGTTTGGGGTGAAGACGATATAGACGGCAAAAGCAATTGGAGTCCTCATCGAAGTGAGGACGAAGGTACTACTCGATCTCGGCTACGGATGTTCTATAATGAGCTGGAGTTTCGTAGAGGACACCACTGATAGGTCCTGAAGAAAGTCAACTAGTCCAGCTAGATAGATCATTCCAACATAAGATTTCTAAGGATAATTTAATTGTTTAACCTAGTCCACCAAGTATCCCGATAAGATACCTTTTCCTAACGGGTGGTTGATGAATAGTATTGAAACTAAATTTGGACGACGTAAGGTAACTCTTTTGGGTACACATCTTTGTAGCGTTTATCTCGGTAACCTCTGGAAACACTTCAGACGAGTAGCCAAGTATTAGAATTAAGTCCTGACTTCGTTGTCAGTGTGGCCTTGTACCCATCCATCTTTCTTAGTTTTCCCAACTGCCAATCACTCTTTAGTTGCCTTACTACCTTCGTCTGGGGGGTAATATACAACGAACGACAAATTTTTAGATAAAAAGGATGAGGTAAAATATGCAAGGTGAAAGTGTACCATGGCAACTTCCTGCTCATATCCAAAGAAAATATACTGGTGTATAGAAAACATCTCCTGCGAGTCTCTACATGCAGTAGTGTAATGTATGAAAATATTGCCACAGTGTAATTGGATTAAACTCCTATCCATACGTTTTGATCTTGTTTAGGACTCATATTCAAGCTTTCGTGCAAAGATCCCAACCTGAGATAGACTTAATCTATAAACACATGTCTCATCAGAAAATCTGATATGGCCAAATCTGCAGTATGCAGGCAATTTCAAGATTGTTAACATTCGAATGAACACTTGAGTGGCGATGCTATCCGACTGGGGCGTTCAACGGGACATTGGGGTCTTTGGCCTGTGGATAGAGAGGACCTTCTTTCATAAATTTGGAATCGGGGTAGGAACAATAATTTATCTGTTTATGCTTGTTGTTTGCAGTGGCTAATCATGGGCAATTTTCTACATAATTTTGTAGGATATTGCTAAAGTTGCCGAGCTTGCCTTTTCGATAACTTAATAGAAGCTTAGGGTTGGATGGTGCAGTGGTACACTACTCGGGCCGTTCTCCCAAGTAGGAACTGAGTAGCTTGAACGTCTACCCCATTTGAGACAGGGGAAAGGTGGTTCGAATCCAGTGACATCCACACACCACTCTCTATCTCGGTGGTATTGTATTTGTGAGATGATGAAAGCACACTCGGACAACCATAGGCTTTCCCAGCTTTTCCCGGTGGTGGGTATGCACGGAAGTGGTTATACGCCGTAAGGGTTAACCTCGAGTGGTATGTGCAAAGGAAATCTTAGTGTGAGTGTTCTAAACATCAAATTGAATCATCCTACTTAAAGTACATATCTTCCGATAAAAACCTGCATGGGCCTCAAGGCGCCAAATCAGGATAACTGAACTATTTATTTATTTTTAATAGACGTTAAGGCTACCAATTACCGACTTTGAACATATTTTTTAACTATTTAGTGTGTATTCAGCTATATAGCTATGACACATGATCAGTGCTATGTATTCATGCTAGATGCCTCTTTTGACATCAGAGACACTCATGCTCTGGATTTCATTCGTAAATACCACTATGAGTTTTGATTACAAACACGAACAGTCGATCCTTTTCCATAAGTACCTATCAAAGGTAAATTCAAAACCTTTGATTTTCTAGGAATGTCTTCTTCATTCATGAACATCAGCGCCCCGAGAAGCATAGTACAGTATTGTCCGAGTTGAATCAGCAGTCTCCTGTTTCGAGTTGGATGTGTGTCGAAGCTATAACTCTGAAAAGCTGTCCGGATGGTTTACCGCATTGCTAAAGAGCACTCGGCTTGAAGCTAAATCTACCGAAGACAAGATTCGCCGCGATAGCAACGTGCAATACAACCACCATTCTTTTAGCGAAGACCCTCGCGGTGAAAGAATCAGCTTCGAAGATCTACATCGAAGACATTAATTTGTGAGGTAGCGAACCTCCGTGGCTTTCATAAACTCAATGCGAACAAGAGACGGCTGGTTTATCTATGGTCTAAGCGCGATCATTACGCAAAGGGATTGGATTTGTAAAGATCGTTAAGTCTTGAAGCCACATCAATTTCAAAAAGTATTTGCACCGGGTATCTCGACAACAGCGAGATCGCTTTACACAGAATCTAGAAATGTCTTACTACTTTGTAATCGTTGGCACTCAAGACAATTCCATGTTTGAATATGAGTTTGGAACTGCAAAGCAGGGCGGGGATGGTATAGCACGTTTTCCCGAGCAGGCGCGGCATATGAACCAGTTTATTGTTCACAGCAGTTTGGATATTGTTGAAGAAGTCCAATGGGGTACTGGTCAGATGTAAAGACCCTTTATCTATACTCTTGCTGTATCGCAATCTAATAGATTCCAGGTATCTAAAGTGTGTTGATAGGTTCTACAACAATCATGTTTCGTGTTTTATCACAGGCGGAAGTGAGTAGTGTCTGTTATTCGAAAATTATACTTACTTTGGAATAGATGTCAAGTTCCTCCTCCTCCATGCTCCAACCCAACTTGCGGCCACGAACACATCTCGGACGAGTACATCCATCGCTGCAAATCCCACTTCACCTCAAACGGAAGAGGCAATAAAGCAATTCTTCGGTGAAATTTATGAGATTTGGGTAAAAGTTATCATGAATCCATTTTATCAAGTAAATATGCCAGTCAAAAGCCTGGTTTTCAAGTCTAGAGTAGCAGCTGCCGCAAAGAAATACCTTTGAAGATAATCGTATCTAGAGGTCACAAATTATCTGCCATTACCTAGTGTACGGTTATTTTGATGATCAAGAAAACATCAGAAAAATCTGGCTAACACCCATTGAATCTACAACGGTTCTTCACGGGTCTTCAGCTTAAAGGCAGTGGAACCGACGTGTGGCTACGATCCACTTCTCTCCTGAAAGATTATGATAAAAAATAAACACTGGCAGTCATCATGCGGACTGTCTGCGTCACTTTCACACTTATCAAGGCACCTGCTGGTCATGTTACGGGAGTCAAAAAACTAACGTAAAATTATTAGTCATGATGAAATATACATTATAAGCATATGTAACCAATTTACAGACTTTGATTCATCCTGATTCACTCTAAATCTGTTGTTTCGGACATGGTACTAAATTTAGAACTACCTTGCTTTTAGCTTTCCAATCGATCTATCTTGTGGCTAGTGAAATTGAAAAAATTTCAGGGACTAAAATACTTAGAGCGTCACGTAACAATTAACAAGTCCAATTTCAGTCTTAAGAATGAATTCTTGTGATGAATCTAGGACTTCCGAGCGAGCTAATCGTTCTCTTAATCAAGGGTATAATTTGTGCGTGTGTCAAGGCTAAAATTGACTTTACATGCGATTGGTGTTACGCCAAAGATGATGGAATAACATACAGATGTAGTTTGAAACGAGTATTAATTTCGTAACTATCGAACACAAACCTTAAATAAGTTTGCAGCGTAAATATGTGGTCGATCTTTTACCATATTCTCAGGTTGGCAGGGTGCAGGCAAATTAAACAGTCGTAAAACGAAAATTAATTAGTCAGCGTTGACAAATATAACTCTGTAGAGCCTACACACATGCTCTGTCAACGAACGGTTGCCGCCAAGAAATATCATAGCCAATAGGACTCTTTAAACGGAATTGAGTTTCAAGGTCCGAATTTGAGTAATTGGAATTAGTGATTACGCTAGCGGGCTTGTCACTTATCAATAAGTAAGCTTCCCCCTTCTGACACACAGAATAACATCGCATAACCACAACAGCAATACGTCTCATACCAACCATCACTACTAAAAAACATCCACAATTTACTAAAATTTCAATATGACTGGTCGTAAGTAGTCATTTAACTTAAGTTTACAAATCACAATCCTCAAGTGCTCAGCTGTCTTGCCAACATTTTATATCTCTCTAAATATTCGCAACATATCTCCTGTTACAAATATATTCAGTTATTTCAGTGTCTAACATTTTGGCAGGTGGAAAAGGTGGAAAGGGTCTTGGTAAGGGCGGAGCCAAGCGCCATCGCAAGATTCTTCGAGACAACATCCAAGGTATCACAAAACCTGCTATTCGCCGTCTCGCTCGTCGTGGTGGAGTGAAACGTATCTCAGCTAGTATGTTGTAACAATCAAACAATCTACGCATACTAACTTATATGTAGTGATATATGAAGAAACGCGTGGTGTTCTGAAGACTTTCCTAGAAGGCGTCATCCGAGATGCTGTAACGTACACTGAGCACGCAAAAAGGAAAACTGTCACATCTCTCGATGTTGTTTATGCACTGAAAAGACAAGGTCGCACACTATATGGTTTCGGAGGCTAAACTCCAATTAACACCACCTGTTAATTCCATACAACTGATCACGAAAATACTTCAAAGAGGATGCCAAGTAATTTTTCAGGCGTCACGGAACAGACCGATCCCGTCCTTCCAGTCATAAATTTACAGCAAATGCTCTCGGTTACAATGCTGCGTTAATTCATTTTTCTTGTAAACGTTCGCTAGATATCACATATTGAGGAGGAAGACTAGCCTAACGATCTAGACAGTTTATCTGAAACACAGACAGCAAAGGCTAATAGACTTTATGGATATACTGCGCAGGCGTTCGACGGGGAACATTGATAGGGTCGTGACCAAGGACTGACACGCCATGTAATTGAACTGAATTGTTCAAATTAGTTTAGACGCGAATTGATGCAGGTAGAATTTAAACCAAATAATGCAGTACTACTATCAAATATGATATAATGAGACAGAAATGAGTCTCCGTGCCGTACGTGTGTAGAAGTAAATCGCAGGACCTTTAAAACGAGGATACGAGGCTACACGAAATAATAGAGTGGTTCAACGTGATTCTAATCCCGAAAGCACGCTGAAGATCGAATCATTGTTGAGAGCCAATGCGCAATCACACTCCTTGTGTGCATACGAATTGCGTCATGTATGATTCTAGTATAGCAGTCATATAGGCTTAAATAGGTCGAAACTTCGATCGGGTCAAATGCGAGCCAACTGACAAAACAAAAAGTGGCCGGCTTCTTTGAACGCTTCAGAAGAGTAAATATATCTTCGAATTTAGCTTTAACTTTGGTATTAGGAGAGCTCCACAACCAGTGATTTTGTGATTTTTCCCGGCTGCCATACACCCACAAACGGCCATCATATCGTTGGCATGAGAAGGGATACAATGAAAAGTAAAGGGCTCTTCTAAGTGTATGACCGAATGGGCACTTGCGAGGAATGAAGCCTTTTGAGAGGAGCTTAATAGGAGGCATAAGAGGGGATATACCACTGGCATAGGTATCCTTGGCCTGTAGACAGAAAGGTCCTACATGTTCTATGAAGTCTTAAAAAGGGAAAGAAAGTTTTCACGATATACACGGCCAACAATTATTGCTAATTTTAGCGTTGTCTTTTGATAAGTTGCAGAACCTTCTCATAGCGAGTCAAAATAAATATCCTCACTTTATTTTGCTAAAGACTTCTATAAAATTGATGAATAATATAATTATACAAATCTGGCGCCGTGAGGGCTCATCCAGGTATTTTCGGGAAAGGTTTATTTTTTGGAGAATGATTGGGTTTAGCATTTGAAACACTCGCACTCAGAAATCAGTCGCAGATACCTCTTAAAGTTGACCTTTGCAGCATGTAGTCTCTGCCGTGCCTGCGTGCCTACCAAAAGGAAAAGTGTGAAGACTCGATAGTTATTTGAGCGTTTATTCGCCATCCTACAATCACGACATCACTGCGAGAGAATTGGTGTTTGGGTCTTGCTGGATGCGAACCGGCCTTCTCATGCCTCAAATGGCATGGGTGATCAAATTACCCAGAATTTACTTAAAACAGCTTGGACGCTGTAATACTGCACCATCCAACACTGGGCCCCTAATGTTTCCATAGTCTAAACTATTTCTCGTCAGTGTGTGTATTTTTTGTGGATACGGGGACATAGGCAGAGCGACGTTGGGTGTTAATTTGAAAAGAGAGATGAGGGAGGGGGGAGGTAAGCCATGTTGGAACGATGAGATATGCATCGTACGCCTCGGAAAATCAGAGACCGACCTAGTTAATAGTTGCATAGTATACTTCCTGGTTTGATTATGTTTGATTCTATTGGAAAGAAATTCTACTTGGTGTGCACTAATTGTGTTGCACCTCTCCGTTGCTGAATCATTGTCTTGATGATTCAGCCAATATCACGGATTCCACGTTGATCATGTCCTTCAGCAGAAGAGATAGACACAATACGCACTCCACAATTGTGCATTTCGTTTTGCATCGAATTCACCTTATGTCTACGTACTATGATGCCACGGTATCAAGTTTGCAATGGGGCCTCGGCAGGGGTTTTAGCGTGCAATTTAATACTCCTTAGGCATAGTCACCTTCCATATTGGAGTTAGCCCCCGTATTTGTGCAAATTTCCGAAAAAATTTGTATGGCAGTTTTTATCTGGACACCATAGTTTGCAGTGGGTCTTTCCTTCTTACTAAACCTAATTGGTAAGATGATCGACTGCATAACATTTGTGCATTTTTACTATTTGATTTTATAACTTATTTACAAGAATTCAAAGGTTTTCGAATTACAAAATAGAGCCACAGTCTTATCCTAACCTTAGATCTGAACATGTGGCTGGAATATTTTCAGGCCTTAATATCTGGTCAGTCCCCCATCCGCGTCTACCACAGCCTGACATCTTGCTGGCATACTCTGAATGAGTCTCACAAGATCTTCGGAAGACACGGAAACCCATGCCTCCTTTACAATGTTGCAAAGACTATCTTGAGTTCGCTGCTTTCCGCAACCCAGATTCAGATGATGATGCTGGATGTAATCCTTCATCCTATTCCAAACAGCTTCAATCGGGTTAAGATCAGGCGAGTTGGCCGGCCAGGAAATCAGTTGAATAAGCCTCTGGCTCATATCTTCCAAAGTTTTTGCTGCTGTGTGGGTAGGAGCATTATCTTGCATTACAGACAGCCAAGGTCTCATCGAGACCGTGCCATCAATAAGAGGAACTATCTTCTCTCAATATTTTTGGGAGTTAAAGGATCCCCACTCCTTCTCCCGAAATAAACAGGGGCCTTTTTCTGGCCCTGCGAAGCAACCCCAGAACATCCATCCGACTCTATTCTTCGATCTTTCTCCAACACAATCAGCGTTGTATTCTTGGGAAGTCTAGCTCATAATTTTAGAGTATCAAGTTACTATCTTATAGAGGAACATACGTACACTTCTCGTCACCCATTCTCTAGAATGTCTTCCATCCTCTACCCAAGTCTCGTCTGTCCATAAAACTGACGTCTAGTCTTCATGTGTCTAATTGAGATGAGTTTCCGGCCATTCTCTGCGTGTCTTCATAGTTTTTTGAGATACTGGAGGCTTTAGACGAGCATCATGTCGATGATTTCATCTTTTTTTAAGTTCTCATTGTATTACCCGCACGCTAACACCAAGATGTCTAAAGGGGCCAGAGGCGAGTTCCAGAAATATTTTGCGGCGGTTTGCAGGTAATACTCAACATGATACAATCTGATCAACATCATCTGCTTTCAGTCTTGAGGACGTTCTTTTTCTCTTTTTGGGGAGACAGTTCCGCGGCGCAGTGAATAGCTTATTTGTTACTGAGAAATACCTATTTGTACGGCATTCTGCATGTGCTTTTTGCCAGATTCATGGAGCCCACAAATCTTAAAATTTCTATTAATTTCAATTCGTTCATTTTAATTTTTCGACTTGTAAAATGTTTTGATCTCTGGATAATTGTTTGATTCGAGGTGTTGAAGGTGGGGTTTGAGGCGGATTCATCTGCGAAACAAGGTTAGTATCGAGTAAAGCCATGTGTCTTCTGAATAAATAACTTTGTATTCGAGAAATCCAATTCATCTTGTCACTCAAGCACAAGATGAGAAGAGCTGTGTAATTTTTTAGCGGTCGGCGGTCATAAAAGTGATGGCAAAGAACTGTAGGACAGGTTGGATTTGCATAAAACTGAGGGTGAAATGAAGTCAAATTGTGCCCTTAGTTTGGGCCTGGAAATACAGGACAAGAATTATGTAGCCTGTCGAATTTGGCGCTAACAGGGTTACAACCCCTGGAGCGAATATGTGCCTCATTTAAATCCACTGAAAACTTGATATCACGGCTCCATGGTACATTTAGGCCAATCGACCACTTCTCTTATTGTCGTTCATACCCACATGCCAAGAATACCTATCGAAAAGTATAACCCTTCCTATGGCTCTCAGTAAGTTCCCCTCAAACAGTAATATCCCCACAGGTCTTCGAGTACACACCAAGAGGAGCCAATATCCCATCATAACCTCCCCTCTCTAGCTAATGATACGATGGCCAGTTGTGGACGTGTAGCTGCAGAGAAAATTCTCAAAAACCACTGAGTGCGTGGCTCTCCTGATACCAAAAGGCCCTTTATCCGGGCGCAGCAGACCCGTGTGCACCTTAGTGCGTCTCTCAACCTTCCTGGTCTCCTCTTTCCTCTTTCCCTGATTCATGCCCCAGGAAAAACCGAAGATCGTGAAAAGATGTCAGAAAAGTCTTGGTCGAGAGTGACTGCCGTGAAGGAGCCTAGCCTAGCGTCCAAAAGTCGTTGCGGACGTGGGGTCGTCGAGTAACTCATGTATTTCAGACGCCCTGCTGGCTAGTAGATTAGGAATAAAAGGTTAGAAGGGACGATATTATTGACGAGTCGAAATCTGCTTTTCCTGAGGGCGGAAGGGTCTTTTACTTTGCTTTCGTATGCTTTTTGTTCGCCCGTCGGTGGGTAGCACATGTTGTGATTTAATGAAGACTTCTCTGACTACCGTTATAGCATTTGGTACCGCATTATCTTTCCTCATTACCAGCATCATTATCGTCGTCTTGGTCGTCTTGTGTGTTATCGGAAGCGTACATTTGACGGAGAGGGTGTATTTCAGCTCAAAGTTGAAAAGCTTTTACTCAATCTCAGCTCTGCAGACTCTTCAGTGAGAGCTGAAGGTTCGTGGGGGACACCACTGACAGGTGTTGAGTTATTAGACGCTTAGTGCTACGATTGACTAATAGTAGGGAGTGATTTATTATTTGTTCTTGTTTTTGCCCTCATATTTAATTGTCCATGTGACTTCACATGATGCCTCCTCTAAGTTGTACCCCTTAAAATATGGTCTCTTCGCACTACTTTTTCCCACCATAGACTTGATTTGATTTTATTCAATCCCATCAGGCAACCTTTGTGCCGGGCTAGGACTTTTGGCCAATGCACGAGAGCAATGCCAATATCAAATATTTACATTTTCTATGTGAAATTCAGGAGC